TTTTATTTTTTAAAAATAAAATTGACGTAAATCATCAGTATATCCTTTGAAGATTCTAAATAGAACACGTAATTGTTGCTTGCACTTCACTCATGCATCATTCTCTGGATCCAGATACCCTGCATCTAGATTTAAAGTCTTGTGCTTGTTGCATTCATTTAAAGAAATAAACATTTCCAAGATTAGGGAGTTGGGAGTATATCGTATTGCATAGGATATCTATGTTAGCTAAGGATTACCTAAATTTCCATGTAGAATTGATCCTAGTTTTCGTAAAACTGATAACTACGATCATGAAGATGGAAATGAGGTCTTGGTCCAATAGTCAAAGGACATACTAGGAACTTTGGGCGCCCTGCCCTTTTCGAATATCAAGCAAGAAAATTTGGACATGGTATTTAGTAGCAAGTGGTGTGATATTTTGTACTTCGGATGGTGATTTTGTGTAGACATGGGACCATGGATAGCTACTGATGTGCAATTTCTTTTTTGACCAGATAGGATCAACTGTAAAAGGACAGGCGGGTCTCTGGCACCAGTTGCAATGGTGGTTCCATTCATGTTGAACATGAAATCCAAAGAGTAATAAATTCTAGAGGCATTCGGGACCATCAAGGGCATCAAGATGAATCCTTTCCGGAATTTATTGAACATGTTTCTTGGAGAAAGCTATAAAACTGTCCCTAGATGGAACTGGTTCACCGAGGAAAAAAACAAATTAATTAATAAAAAAGGGAGAGCCATAAAAAAGGAAAGACAAGGAAAAAGAGAGTTCCCTTCAATCCAAGATAAGAAGATGAAAAAGCAAAAGGAGGGGGTGATATTTGGTTGTAGAGGAGAAAGTTTATCTCCACTCAAGTAGCATTCAAAACGGAAGATTCCCTCTGCTGTTACCATTTTTGGAGTGATATGAGCATGACTGGTCTCATGATATTTGGAAAATGCTCTGTTTATAAGTGTATGACAGATCCCTACTCAAGGTCAAAGGTGACGATTGTAACTCGATAAAATAATTTGCACTTAAATGGGGATGAAATATTTGAACCTTCGTTTGTAGATAGTTCCATTACTCGAGTACTGTCTTAATAAACTAAGATTATTTAAAAGGATGATGAGAACGTAATATCTTATAAAAAAAAATATTTACTTCAATGTGAATGCGTGGTGTTTTATATATAAGAAAGTGACTTAATAAACAATGCTAAGCCAAAGAAATATGAAAGGGAAAGGATGGGTTCAAGGTTATGGTACCTTCGGTCTCTTGGTCTGACAAAGAAGGGGGTGCATTGGAATGGGAAAGGTCGGGGAAGGTCATAATACATGGATCCCACAGAACAGCGAGCCTAATCCGCGTTTTGACGTGTGAGGCAGCTGTTTGATGGGCCCAGGTCGGCCGGAGTGTAGGTGAAAGGGATGAAGGCCTTGTAGAGCTGTGGGTTTGGTGTATTTGGCCCCTTTGAAGAGATAAGGAGATTCTGTCATGATGTTTCCGAGTCAAGGACTCAAGTGGGAACCGCCAGGAAATTTTGGAGATAGATGAGGGAGAAATTTTTGTTCTAAGACAATTGGGATTTAGAGGCTTTATATTCAATTTTAAATATTAGAGAGAAGGTGAAGAATGAAAAAGAAGCACCACTATGACATTCTGTGGTATGGGCCTTCGGACTTGATCCATCTTGAAGCTCTTTCGTTGTCTCATTTGATAGTGCCTGTTATGGCGTGGGCCTGCAGACTCCTTGACCCAACATTTCTTTGCACTACCAAAACCCCAAAAGGACTCAATATTTCTAATTTTCTTTTTCTTTGTTCTTAGTACAGAGGGTAGTGACATCTCACTGGACTAATCTAATGGCCCTGGGCCTTCTAAACCAATCATTTCAGCATTCATAAGAGGAATGATACCTCCAGGTGGATTCTCGAAGATGTGTAATTCATGCTCTATCAAGATGGTAAAATTCAGAGGTCATATCATCTGCACATTAGCTTCCCCATCAATGTGCCTTAGGTTGCATTTGCCAATCTTGTCGCAATAACTCTCTACATTTGCGTATCAGCCAAGAGTATGGTCCTGTCAAGTCACTAGTATTCTTGATAAGATGAATTGCGAGTTGAGAATTTCGATTCAACTTGAGCTAATCCATAACCCTGGCTCCATAATAGTTGAAGTCATTTTCAAAGCGCATGAGAAAACCAAAACACCATGATCCATCCTCGTTCTGGCAATATTTCTAATTTTCTATGCTTATAAAAATCTCAATTTAAGCTTATTGATTAGATTAGCCAACAAAAAAGGAAAAAAAAAAACCTCTTGTTCATTAGCATAATGTTAGGAAGTTGTTCAAGTAAAAATATTTTATACATCAAATTGCTTAAAATTAAAAATATTTTACATATTGGTTTGCATAAAATTATTTTTTAAATAAAAAACACCCTTATTATTAAATATCCTACAATGAAACTTTTAATTTTTCTCGATTACTTATTATAAACGTTGTTAGCAAAAACAAAAAATATATATATATAAAATTTTCCCACTTTACAATAATTTGAAAACTTGTTGAAGCAACGAGAAAGAAGATGTTTTTTAGCATTTAAAATATTTACAGAGACTTCAAATTCATAATTTTTTGAGAAAAGAATACTCATAAATATACAAAAAATTAACTTTACCAAATGGAACTTAAGAATTAAACCGAGCACATAACTCTTGTTGATTTAAAAGAAATATTGAAACAAATTATTTTGATCAATTAAATTAAATTAATTATTCTTTTAATCTTTATTTCTATTGCCTTCATTAACCTCAAAAAA